GTATTCTGTCTGGAACAACTCTTTTCACTGGCTAAGCTTTCCTACGAGTTTGACTGTCCAGGAGATGATACTAATACCAACTCTATCTGTATTGCCATGTTGAAGAGTTGCCAAATTAGTATAGCGGCAGTAGTTAAAGATTCCAATGTGCAGGTATCTGAGACTTCTTGTCATATGCTAGTTTAACTATTAATTATCGAGCTCTTAACAGTATAAGTTCAAATATCTGTAGGTTCAAGCTACTGTCTTACAAGTGCTAAAAAGCTTGGTACAGCGATACAACAACCCAGAGGAGAAAAGTTTTGTCATCTTCTTTGTCGGCGAACTTATTGGAGATATTGTCAGTCTGATGCAGAGGGCGCTTCTGGTTGTTTTCTCATTTCTTCCTTCCAAATTCACAAAATTTACATTTTAGAAGAAAATAGCAATTTTGACGTCATTTTAGATTTGAAAACTATGATAACTGACTTCTTTCTTATTCTTTTGGATAGAAACCTATGAATAAGGAATCGGTGGTCATAGCTGGTGAATGCTTGCGGTTCATAATGCTACTTCAGACACACTCAATTACTGATGAACTTCAGAGGGGATTCATGAGCCTTTTCCTTGAAGTGGTTCTTGTGGTTTTCTCTAAGACTTCAGATGGCGTTTCTCAGGTTCGATTCCTAGCTCGACCTGTAAATTCTATATTAGAAATTTTGTTGCTCCTAAGGCTTAAATGTCTTTTTAATTGTTTTATGGATAATACCAGGAAGTCCTCGAGTTAAGAAATGTAGCTGTGCGGCTTGTTTCCCATCTAGCTCAGTTGCCTTCCTCGGCTGTTCACTTTAAGGATGTTCTGCTGTCGCTCCCAGCAACACACCGGCAGCAGCTTCAGGTTCTTAAATGCATTCGATTTTATTTACTTGCCTGGAAACAGTGTGTTCGAAAGTTCTAATGGATCCCAAATCCCCTATCCTTTTAATCAACATAACTTTCTCTTTATATTCCTCAAATGTGTTGTGGGTAAGCATTTTGCATGAAAAAAATTGAAAGAACTATCTAATTGGTGTCCTTGTTCTTCTGATGTTAGGATATTATCCGTGCTTCCGTCTCTAAAGATAGTGCCCTTCCGAAGCCAAAATCCTTGGTTCCACCCATGGATATCAAACTACCAGCACCTGTGGTAGCAACACCTGAAAAGGTTACCTCTACTGCTAATATGGTTAAAGCAGAAGCATTGTCCACTGTGCCAATATCATTCAATCAGATTAGCACAGTAGAAAGTGGAATTGATGAAGAAAATGATGAAGAAGAAGATGATGATGATGATGATGACTGGGACACTTTCCAGTCTTTTCCTGCTTCCACAAATCTTGAAGGGTCAGAGTCTAAGACAGAAAGTGTTGCTGAAGAGGAGCCAGGTCTTCCTGGGAGTTCTTCTATACAGGATGATGAATCAAATGAAACAAATAATTCACTACTTGCAGAAGAAGCTGATGATCAACATTTTGCATCTGACAATGCGACAGACACAACAAGAGAAGATTCGAATGACAAAAGCAAAGAGGTTGATGAGGAGACAGTAGAGCCATGTTTCACCACAAGTGAAGACTCGGTTGACAAAAGCAAAGAGGTTGAAGAGGAAACAGTAGATCCGTGTCGCATAGAAGAAGCTCTTACAAGCCAGAATGACAAAACCTCATCTGATGACCATCCTGTTGAAAGTAAGAATTTGGAATCTGAAAATATTGGAACTGATATCAAACTTACTTCAACTGAGGTAGATTCACCAGCCCTAGATGATACATCAGATGATCTTGAACCGCATCAGATTCAAAAGTTAACCGAGGATGAATCTAGCAAGGAACATGTTGGAGCTGATGTTATTGTAACGGAACACACAATGGCTGAAAATAAGAGCGAAGAGGATTAATGAAACACTGGATGGACGATATAAATTTTACTGTAAACTTGTTATGATTCATTTGTGTTTGTCTTTATGCGTCATTTCAATTGCTGGTTTGGGGATAAAACTTGAAATTGGTTTATACATTGTTTGGTTTTTCTATTGCTTTCTTGTGAAAAAAAGTTGGGTGTTCCGTTAATGAGACTGTTAGAAGTGTTGATGACTGAAGAGAGGAGTTCAATTTGTCTGATTGCATGGACCAAGTTTTGGGGCTATACGGGGGTCAACTAGTTGGGCCTTCTTCAAGCCGATTGTTCAAGATTTCTTGGTGTTTCGAGAGGAGTTCGACCAATCTCCCTCTCGTTTTCCCCCACAGAAAACTAATATACTGTAAAGTCCAAAACCTTTTTCAGGTTTCTACAGATACCAAACCCAAACCAGCTTACCTGAGACACATGTTTCTCGTCCCGAGCAAGAAAGTTGTTCCAAATTTGGTTCACAAGAACATTCCTATTGACTAATCTAAAGGCACCAGAGATCATCTAATTGTAGGTTAAACTTTAAGAGATTTGTATTCATATCTCTCTCTCTCTCTCTGTCCCGTAAGCAAACTAATACAGCGATCATGAATAGAGGAGAAACCTCAGATTCCATCCCAACTGATCTCATTCTCGACATACTCTCGAGATTGCCTTCAAAGTCCATCGCGAGGTTTCGCTGCGTTTCGAAGCTATGGTCGTCCATGCTTGCCAGTCAAGCTTTCACCAGGTTGTTCGTTACCAGGTCCTCATCTAATCCACGTCTCTTAATTGGGGTCGAACAAGACGGTGAGTGGAGATTCTACTCGTCGCCTCAGCCTAAGAATCCATATGACAAGTCATCTCTTGTAGTAGCCGCCTAATACAGTAAACTTCACGATTCACTTCAATACAACTCCGATTAACAATCCGTAACCCAAAGAATCATTTCGATGTTCATAAAACACCCAAACGATCAAACGCTAGCTCTCAAGATGAGAGAAACCTAGCAATACAAGTTTTTCAGAATCTCCAAGTTTTACAAAATGATTTTCGATGATAAGAAAGAAGGAGCAACATTGCTCTTTTATTGTTGCGTAACAAACTTCACACGTGTCTACTGCCAGCTCATCAATTGCACACGTGCCACTGCTACCATTTCACACTCTCATTTTCCTGTATCACCGCCGATTTTCATATGAAGTTTTCTGAAGGAACCCGATCTTACGGTTGTAGCTATGCTTTTGGTTTGATCTATTTTCGTACTATGTGGATCTCAAAGGAGGGTAACGATCAAGTGGGTGTGATATGTAACCCTAGCACAGGACAATATGCGATCCTACCACCTGAACCGTCCAGAAGCTGCCGTGGCATTTTAGGGTTTGATCCGATATGCAAGCAATTCAAGGTTTTGGTCTTAAACAATCCTGACATTCAGCATATTCTGACATTAGGAACTAAAAATGTGAGGTGGAGGAGTATGCAACGTTCCTTAAGGTATGTTCCTCGTGAGCAAAGGCCGATATGCATTAATGGGGTTTTGTATTACATAGCTTACGACTTGCAGGACAGCTCGTATGATGTGATAGGTTGCTTTCATGTTAGGTTTGAGAAATTCAAGTTTTTACATGTAAATTATGATATGATAGACTCTTTTTGTGTATTAGTAAACTATAAGGGCAAATTAGGTGGGATTTATTGGGAGTATGCTGATGATGGTGGATTTCCTCTTGAGTTATCTATGTGGGTTCTAGAGGATCTTGAGAAAAATGAATGGTCGGAAAAACGCTATTTTCCACCAAAACCGTAAACTCACATTTTCCCGCCAAAACCGTAAATCCGCGTTTTCCCGCCAAAACCGTAAATCTGCGTTTTCCCGCCAAAACCGTAAATCCGTATTTTCCAGCCAAAACCGTAAATCCGCGTTTTCCCGCCAAAACCGCATAACCATGTTATAGAAAACGTGGTTTTACGTTTTGTTTTAAATATTTAAATCAAAAATTGAATTTAAGTAGAATATTAGTTTTAAATATATTTAATATTTTGTTCTTTTATTTTAGTTATTAAGATATTAACATTTTTAATAAAAATAACTAATATAAAATTAAATATAAATGGGCTTAAATGGGTACCCATTTATTTGTGTCAAACCCCATTTAATAAATGGGTTTAATTGGGTAACCCATTTAACCCCATTTAACATTTTTCCCTAAATGGGTTTAAATGGGTTAATTTTTTTTGTACATACCCATTTAATAAATGGGGGGTCTATGCCCAAGTTAACATCACTACTTGGGCAACACTATCTCTATAAGTTAGCATGTGGGTCGTACAATGAATATAAAAAAGTAGACTTTTAATCATAAAAAAGGTTTTTACAAAATTTTGGGACTTTTTAATCTGTTTATACAAAATAATTTAATATATTTGAACCTTTTATCTACAATACAAAAATATATAATTTCTTTCGAACAAAGGGATTTTTTAGTTTTAATTGTACTTTTACATATATATACAACATAAAATATCAATTTTAACCATCAAAGGTGTTGAATTGTTTTAGACCATTACCCATCGACAATATATAATATATGAAAATAATGTCCTACGACGCTTCAAATAACTTGACTTCCCTTGAAAATAAACAACTGTCTTGTTATTACAACTAGTAATTTAGTAGTTATTTGTGTTAGTGTCGTCGTTATGTCACTATCAAAATTTAAACACGGGTATGTAAAAAAACACTACTTTTTCATATGTTAAACATAGTTTTAATAACCAAAATTAACAATAAACTTCTTTATTTATGCAATGACTCAGTATCCCACATCTCCAAATTTTAACTCGAATTACTAGACAACACCTTTGCATCGAATATTCCTAGGGTTTGGTTATCGAAAATTCATAAAACCGAAACGCTGCGTTTTTTTATTTTGGGCAAAATAGAAAGAAACAAAACAAAGCGATTAGGGTTACAATATTGGTTAAATTAAAGGGTTCATTTTATAATTTTTGTTTTTCTTCAATACCCTCTAAACCCAAACCGACTGCAACAAAAAGGCGCTTTGCTTAAACCCTTAAACCTGCTACGCCGCGTTCTCTTCTTCGTCCTTGATAGGGTTTAGTTCTCTAAAACGTAAGATTTCTTCTAAAGGTACTTCCTTTCCTACTCTTGTGTCGATTTCAAGTTTCATCGTCTTTGGAGGATTTGAGCGTAGAGTCGATTAAAACTAATTTTTCCCATTCTTTTGTTTTTGTGTGTGTCGGAATTGATAGCCGTTTCTATAGAAACCCTAATTTCAGTCTCTGGTTTCACCTATCAACAGGTATCGATGGCTATTGATGGGAGTTTCAACCTTAAACTTGCCTTGGAGACGTTTTCTGAACGTTGTCCCAAGGTCGCAGCTTTTCCATTTTTCAGTTCGATTCTCGGCAAGGTAAAGTCTTGTAATTGTTACCCAGAATTATGGGTTTGAGTTTGTTTTGAACATTTTTTTTTGTCTTTATGGCTGCTGGGTTTTGTTTAGGGAGGAGAAGTTGTGGATAACGAAGAGGTGATTCATGCTTTAGGGGATGTGTTTCTTCACCCGGAGTATACTATTCCGTTGGTTCATTGCTTCCGTCCTATTATAAGAAGTGTTGTAGATAGAGTGGTGGGTCTTCTCAATCTAGTGGATGATCTTAAGTCTAGTATTGACTACTCAGACGATGTGTCATCAGTTTTGGATAATGCTATGAAGGAAGGTATTAGTGTGATTGATTTTTATGTTCGGCGTGGACAAAGGTTGGAGCTTCATGAGTGTTCTTGCTTGGCCTTCAGTCGTGCGCTTCATTTGAATACGTCTTTGTTAGGGTAAGATGACTATTTACTTTGTTACCGAAGCTAGAAACCAAATTAACTTCTTATCGGACTTCTTAGCTTATCAGTCGTGTGAACCAGCAATAAAGCTAAGAAGTCTGATAAGAAGTTAATTTGGTTTAATTGAAACAGCTTGACTAGTCTCCTAACAGAAGCTTCCTTAAATTTGTAGGTCTATTCTAAATTATTTTAAAGTGGCTCCACCACCGTACCAGCGAATTCTTGTGAAAGAAATAGTTTCTGAGTCGCTCATGGAGGTATGCTTGTTATCTTTGACGTTTATTTGTGTCAGAGCATTATATGAAAATTATTCTTATCCACTTCCTAGTCTTTGGCCAGTGACATTGATTTTTTTTCCCTGAATCAGGCTACAGATGCGTACTTGCTTTGTCTTCGAGTATCATATCGTTTTCTCGTTATTAGACCTGAGGTTTTCTCTAAGTTGTGGGATTGGTCTTGTTACTTGGACTCTATGAAAAGGCTTTCAGAATGTTCTAGACAAAAAAGGCATTTCTTGGATAAGCATCGTGATGCTGTGTGGTGTGGTATTCAAATTCTTTCTGTTGTTTTGAGATGCAGTGACAGGTTAGCAGGATGTTTTGGTTTTGAAGTTGAAGAAGCACTTTCGTGCTTGCTAAGGTAATCCATTTTTAGCTATACTCAAGACTATTAATTGACTTTTCGTCTGAAGTTTCGTTTCTAAGGGTTTAATTTCTTTGATACATTCAGATGGGAGGAATTTTGTCAGGATATAGAAATAGAAAAGGCTGGATCATACATTCAATTGCCTACATACACAGCGTTGAAGTCTTTGCAACAATTTAATACCCTTGTACCTGGAATTAACAAGCGACAATCAGAAGGGTTAGAAACAAATGAGCCACAGATGAAGATTCGGAGGCTGGACACATGGTCGGTTCTCTTTGTGTTTCTTTTCAAATAAATTTCACCACTTATGCCACTTGTGCTTAATGAGAATTTGCTCTTATTCTTGTTGAATTCCACATTCCTCTTCAATTCAGGAATGTCAAATCTCTCTCTGAACCATTTGAAATCCACTCTAGGGTGAAGAAATCTTTTGAAATGGTCTCATTGGCTGTCAGTCAAAAGCGACCTGTTCTTCTATATGGTCCCTCGGGCTCTGGAAAGTCTGCCCTCATTAGGAAGTTGGCTGATGAAAGTGGTAACCATGGTATGTTATAATTTTAATATCTACGTATATTGGTCTCAAATAATTTTTTAGTTGTCTAGGTTCAAGAAACTTTCTACTTTACTTGAAGGAAAAATAACTATCTTTAGATATTGCTGTGCATACTAAACACATTGAGTATTTCCACTGCTAAAATGAAGGCCTACTAAATTATTTCTAATTATATTTTGTTTTCTCTATGCCTCTCTTTTGATTTGATAGTTGTATTTATCCACATGGATGATCAACTTGATGGGAAAACGTTGGTTGGCACTTATGTGTGTACTGATCAACCTGGCGAATTCAGATGGCAGCCTGGCTCACTTACCCAGGTTTGTGGAATTAAAATTTAGATGGCAGCCTATTTTTTGTATCTACCCGTCCTCCTACTATTGCATCAATAATTTTTGTTTTTTCCGTCTTGGCAGGCGATTATGAATGGTTTCTGGGTGGTTCTTGAGGACATAGACAAAGCTCCATCAGATGTTCCCCTCGTCTTGTCACCTTTGCTGGGAGGGTCTTGCTCATTCGTGACCAGTCAAGGAGAGGTATACACTCTCTTTTTGCTGCTCTGTTACTTATCCTATACGGAAAAATATTGTAGTGCCCACACCTTTTGAATAACTCTGTTTTAGGTACTTGTATTGTTTCCTTTAGAGATTTATTCAAGTTTCTGAGATTCTTAACTTTTACTCTGCTTGCAGGAGATACGGATAGCGGAGACTTTCCAACTGTTTTCAACTATATCGACACCCGAATGCAGTGTGTCACACATCAGGGACGGTATGTCTTGCGGACACTGATTAGGTTGAATGGTATTGTAGTTGTATAAGCTTGAAACCTGCAACTTTAGGGAGTTTATTTCCTGAAGCATAAAACCAAATTCCAGTGGATTAGAGGCTCAATAAACGTCTGTGATAATAAATATTCATGCTGGCTATTGGTCCCAGTTAAATAAGCTGATATAGTGTTTGATGAGCATGGCCATTGTGCAAATAACCGACCTAGCTCAAAGTGCATGATAGATTAAAATCTAATGTTATTGATGTTTGCAACACTAAAGCTCTTATGAGGTCTAATAACTATCTGTATTATTTACGTGGCATTCGAGCCGAGGAAAACCCATCTTTTACTTGCTGCAAATAAGATTCAGTTCAATAAAACCTTATTATATTTGTCTGGTTTTCTTGGATGTAGCTGGAAATTCGTTGAGTCCTCTATGGAGGAGAATTGTTGTATATCCACCAGATCGTGAAAGCTTGCTAAGTATCCTGACTGCTCGGTATCAAAACCTGGGTCCTGTTGCAGAGAAGCTTATTGGTAAGTTCCTCTTGCACATACACCCCTTTACATGTTATCTGTACTAACAGTGAAACTATTCCATCTTTGCAGAAACATTTGAAACCATCAACTCTGCTCTTCGTCCCCAATTTTCTGGTTCAACAACTGAAAACTCAGCTACTTTCAGTTCTCCAAGTAGATTTTCACTGAGGTAGGGATATATCTATGAATGAGAGTTCTTGTTATTAATGGATTTATCATTCTATTCTTTCTGAATGGTCATCATTTCCAGAGATCTGCTCAAGTGGTGTGAACGGGTTCATGGCCTGTCCTCCTATGATGGTCATGCAATTTATCAGGAGGTCTCTTTCTTTAAAGATTGCTTGGATTAGTCTCTTATTCTAGTATTTCTTTATTTAATTTGGCGTTTTGTGCCATTTCCTCAGGCAGCAGATATATTCTCTGCGTCTAATATGTCAACTAAAAACCGAGTGACAGTAAGTAACATTGTGGCTAGCATTTGGAATGTCGCCGTTCCAGAATCTCAGCATAAGCCCCCAATTCAGGTATCTTAGTATCCTTGACAGTGTTTTAGTTTGGTGCTTTGAGATTTCTTTCTAAATATTCATTCGAACTGCAGGAATTTTCTGGGATTCTAAAAATTGGTAGAGTTTCTCTTCCACTTGGTGAAACTGCGGTTAGTTTATAAGCACTCCCTTCTTTTTAATACAATTATTCATCCATTAAAGCCTCTTGTTGATCTGCTTCTTTTTTTTCAGTCACATGATCGATCTAGGTTTGTTGAAACACGCACATCTACACAATTACTTGAGAAAATAGCTCGCTCTGTCGAGTACAATGAGCCAGTTCTCTTAGTAGGAGAAACAGGGACTGGGAAAACAACACTTGTTCAAAATCTTGCACACTGGATCGGACAGAAACTCACTGTTTTGGTATATGTTTTGACATACATTCGTGCAGTGACGTAGTTATCGTAGTGGTTTTCTATAATTTCTAATTTACTTTTGTGCAGAATTTGAGCCAGCAAAGTGATATAGTTGATCTATTGGGAGGTTTTAAGCCTATTGATGCAAAGCTTATGTGCACAATGCTGTACAATGAATTCAATGAATTGGCAAAGATGAAGGTAGCTTTACATTTTAAAACTTAGTCACTCATGGATTTACTCATACACTCATTCCTAACCAGATATGTTATGTAATGAATTTAGCATGTTGCTCGGGTAATGAGTCCTCTTCATTTTTGGTATCCAGGGTGATTCAAAGACTATGAAATGGCTGCAAAGACATTTTAGAGCCAAGAATTGGGATACAATTTTGACTGGGTTAGTGAAAACTACAAAAAGCATTGAAGGTAAAATTATTAAACGCATTGAAGGTAAAATTGGGGAAGCAACGTCTAGATCTGGTAGAAAGAGGAAGAATCCAGAAGAGCTCAAAAACTGGGCGCGTCTGTTGAAGAAAGTGGAGAAGATACAACAACAGATTCGTTCAGGTGGAATGGTTTTTACCTTTGTTGAAGGTGCGTTTGTGACTGCCCTCAGGGAGGGGCATTGGGTTTTACTAGATGAAGTAAACTTAGCCCCACCAGAGATATTGGGCAGGCTGATTGGTGTTCTTGAAGGAGTGAGAGGATCACTTTGTTTAGCTGAGAGAGGGGATGTAATGAGCATTCCCAGACATTTGAATTTCCGTCTGTTTGCTTGTATGAATCCAGCCACAGATGCTGGTAAGCGAGACTTGCCATTCTCCTTCCGAAGCAGATTTACAGAGTATGCTGTTGATGATGACTTATGTGATGATGACCTGGAGATATTCGTGAGGCGATTTTTAGGTGGACGTGGATCTGACAGTAAGTTAGTAGGCAACATTGTTTGCTTTTACAAAGAAGCTAAAAGGTTATCTGAAGAAAGCTTGCAGGATGGTGCTAATCAGAAGCCACAGTATAGCTTAAGGTCTCTTTACCGTGCGCTAGAATATGCGATAAAAGCAGAAGCTATTGGTGGATTTCAGAAAGCATTATACGATGGATTTTCCATGTTTTTCCTCTCCTTATTGGATGCTTCCAGTGCTAAGATCATGGAACCAATAATAAAACGTATCTCCGGGGAAAATATCCGAAACCAACCACTTCAAAGATACTTGGGAGAATTAAAAGGCAGTTCTGATAAATTTGTTGGCAGTTATGTTAAGACGAAGAGTGTAACTGAACATCTTAATCATTTGGCGCATGCCATTTTTATTAAAAGATATCCTGTTCTCTTACAAGGACCAACATCCAGTGGAAAAACAAGCCTTGTCAAATATCTTGCAGCAATAAGTGGAAACAAATTTGTTCGAATAAATAATCATGAGCAGACTGATATCCAAGAATATTTAGGTTCCTATATGACTGATTCTTCAGGGAAGCTTGTATTTCACGAAGGAGCGTTGGTGAAGGCTGTCAGGGGTGGGCACTGGATTGTCTTAGATGAACTTAATTTGGCTCCATCTGATGTCTTAGAGGCACTAAACAGACTGCTTGATGACAATAGGGAGCTTTTTGTGCCTGAGCTGTGTGAAACAATCTCAGCGCATCCTAATTTTATGCTCTTCGCTACACAGAACCCTCCTACTTTATATGGTGGACGCAAAATACTGTCTCGAGCTTTTCGCAATCGGTTTGTGGAGATTCATGTTGATGAAATTCCAGAAGATGAACTGAGTGAAATTCTTACTACGAAGTGTAGTATTGCTAACAGTCATGCTTCAAAAATGGTTGAAGTGATGAAAGACCTGCAACGCAATAGGCAGAGTAGCAAAGCTTTTGCTGGAAAACATGGTTATATAACTCCAAGAGATTTATTCCGGTGGGCATATCGTTTCAGGACTTATGACGGTACATCTAAGGAAGAACTAGCCAGAGAAGGGTATTACATCCTTGCAGAAAGGCTGCGTGATGACACTGAGAAGGTAGTTGTTCAAGAGGTGCTGGAGAGACATTTCCGTGTCAGTCTTGCCAAAGATGATTTGTACAAAATGGTAAGTTATGTTATCTAGTTTGAAACGTTTATTAAAACTATTTTCAGATAATTGATTTAACAGCATGTCATGCATCTAGCTAATGTGTCTTTTCTTCTTGGAACTAGTTCACTTTTAGGTTTCCTGAAATTGGTTTATATTATAGGTCTTTTAACTTTATATATCCATTGCAAGGAGCTGTGTCATACAGTGAAAATTGCTTGTTGTTGATCTGTTCTTTATCACTGTTGGTCGTACTGCATTATTATTAAGTTTTACTATTACTGCATCATTACAAAGTTGCTATTTCTTATACTATTCTGATAGAAATAATGGTTTTATGTTCTTTTTTTGCTTTTGTTTTCTTACCCCAGGAGCTTCCAAGTCTGGATTCCATGTAAATGCCTTTCCCCTTCTAATTCTCTATTATTGAATTATTTTCTTCGAGCTTGTTTGTTTTTATCTTTAACAGTCTTGGCTAAATTTTATGGTGCTATTATTTTCAATTTTTATATAGACAAAACAGAAAATTCACCTGGACTCAAAGTATGAGGAGACTATTTTTTCTCATCGACCGTTCTTATAAACTACGTGAGCCTGTTCTTCTTGTTGGTGACACTGGAGGAGGCAAAACCACAATCTGCCAAATACTAAGCGAAGTTAAGAAGAAAAGATTGCACATCCTTAACTGTCATCAATACACCGAAACATCTGATTTCCTTGGTGTAGGCTTACCTTTTCTTCATCTTATATATTCCAAACTCCAATGCTACACTGTTACTTCTTTCATTTACAATTTCTAATGTCAGCTTCTTTCTTAGGGATTCTTTCCTGTGAGAGACAGATCAAAATTAGTCACGGAATACGAGAATCAAGTCAAACAGTTGGAGCTCTGCCAGGCATTGGCGCCTTTTGGCCAAGATATTGTAAGTATCCCAATACCCACAATATGTTGGTATTCCACCCGTCTTTCTTTCAATGTGGATGCTATATTTTGTTGAACATGTCATGTGCAGGTTATTTGTGCAGATATCAGTAGAGCTGAAGAGTTGATCAAATCAATAGAGGTAGCTCTGGAGAAGTACAAAAATGATTCAGTTATAGGAGCGGCCATCACACCACAGGATGTTGATGTTCTTGATAAAATAAGGAACAATATGGTGATGCTGTATCAAAAGTGGCGTGCAATTTTTGTTTGGCAAGATGGGCCCCTTGTGGAAGCAATGAGAGCTGGAAATATCGTTCTTGTGGATGAGATATCTTTGGCTGATGACAGTGTATTAGAAAGAATGAATAGTGTGTTGGAGACAGACAGGAAATTGGTGAGTATTAGTTCACTGCTATTAGGTCTTGATCATGTCATTAAAGCTACCCTGCCTTCATGTTCATCATTTAGCCATTCCTTATCATTTTCATCATTTCTCAATGCTGGTTTTCATTTTCTTTGTAGATTTTTTATGTCTGTTTAATTGCCCTCTCGTATTTTATTCTTTCCACTTTATCTTTGTAGTCCTTAGCTGAGAAAGGTGGTCCCGTCTTGGAGGAAGTTGTAGCTCATGAAGACTTTTTTGTTCTAGCCACCATGAACCCGGGTGGTGATTATGGAAAGAAGGAATTGTCACCTGCGCTTCGTAATCGTTTTACTGAGATATGGGTCCCTCCTATTACAAATACTGAGGAGCTCAGAAGTATTGCCTTTTCTGGGTATGTGGTCTCCCTGAAATGCTCAGAAGGATACTTGTCAATATCTTGTTGCTAATTCCTAATTTTCTTGTTTTGTAGCCTTTCCAGTTCGAAGGAATCTAATATTGTAGATCCCATTATCAACTTCTGGGAGGTAGTTTCCCTTTCCTATTACTCTTAATCTTATTTCCTTCTCAAATTCTGTAACCCTGAAAGTAATACATGCTTTGAGGTTTATGATATAGAAGCTTGAATATGCCCTTAGGATTTTATAGTGTCTCCACAGTGTTGTTTACCAACATGAACACGACCACACATCTCAAGGTTTTGTGCTGTTGGAAAACAATTTGATTGCTTTACTTTTTAGTGTATCGTTTTTAATCTTGGCTCCATACCATCTCTTTCTTTTCCATGCTCTCTCGTCAGGCACAAACTGTTTCTGAGCGTTATAATTATAATCATAATCATGTCAATGATACATGATACTTTATAATTATACGGTCTTGTATGTTTTGTGCATCAATAGATTCAATGCAGTATTCTTTGCTGCAGTGGTTCAACAGGTTGCAGACTGGGAGAACGCTTACTGTCAGAGATCTCCTCTCCTGGGTTGCGTTTGTCAACATGATAAATGAGAGTTTAGGACCAGCATATGCTATTCTTCATGGATCATTTCTCGTGTTACTTGACGGTCTAAGTCTTGGTAGGTTTTTCCGAATTCTAAATATTCTGTATAGGTTTGAAGTTTGATTGCTATACTCACTTATTCAACTCTTATTCTTCCCTTCTGTAACCAAGTTTTATCTGCACTGGGGAGCTTTCTATTTATTTGATTGCATTCTTGTATGAACAATCTGGCATTTGAACTTGTCGATGTCCAAAAACATCGTAATAAGATTAGTCATGCATATCTGTGGCCGGGTGTTTCACTGTAGCTTAGGCTATAGTGATTCCCTCACATCCCTATGAAAAGATGCTCTTTGCCTGGTGGTCCATTAAACATATTCGTTAGGTTCTCTAGCTGCTTCTTGGATTGATTGCTTTTTTAGATGCCTTTGTCATCTACAGTTTTACATTTTTTTGACAGGTCTGTCTTTGACTTAATGATATAAGTACACTAGAATATGTCAAACATCTAAAAGATTGAATAGGTCTACCTAGATCGTTTGTGATATAAACTCATGCAAATGATGAGAACACTATGTACGACCTGTGTTATGTCTTGTTTTTGTCATATTAATTGTTGAATTTGGGTATTTGAATATAATGGAATTCCATCTTCACTAGCTGAATCTACAACTTGTGTTATGTAGTTTCTGTCGTTGGATTTACTGAGTTTAGGGTATTCAACTTAATTGGTATCTCATCTTCACTACCCAGCGTGTATGATTGATTCACTTTTCTTGTTATGTTTATAAGGAACTGGTTTCTCTGGGAGGGATGGTCAAGATCTGAGAGAAAAATGCTTCGCTTTCCTATTACAACAACTTAAGGTAATTTGAGTCTTGATACTACAATGATCTCTTTATTTTAGTTTTTTTTTGTCAACACAAACTCGCCAAGTTTTCTCTAGTGGGTTATGTTGAATTCTGTGTTTTGGTTATTCTAGGATTCAACATGTCTAGCCCTGTGTTTAAAGTACTACTCTTTTAAACTCTCAGAGGTTTTGTTTTATTATCTTCCATATGTTTTTTAAATGGTGAGAGCTAGGAATTCTCTTTCTCCACATCAGCGTAAAAAAAAATCCAGTAAATCAGTTTGGTTTTGCTATAGAACAAAAACGTTTCCGTAGCATCTTTAAATTCTTAAACCATGTGACTTATATCGTGTTTAGTCCCTCAACACGTAGTGATGCTCGTTGTTCGACTACGAATGTCTCATCATGTCGCATCCATCTGAGTATCTGACTTTTCTGGTTCAGCTTTTTGCTAGCGATACACTCCCTTTGGAGCTTTCAAGAATGGAGCTATATGGCTGGGGTGATAACAAAACAATTTGTGAAGAAAGTAAGAGTGTTCGACATGAGGGCATGTTTGGCATCGATCCCTTTTTTATAAGCAAAGGTGAGCTGCTCATGTTTTTTTTTCTGCAAAGGATATGTTTATATTGTCAGAGTATAGCAACCATGATTATAGACATTTATGATATTTTGTTTGGAACGTACAACCTGCCTGGTCAGGTGATGAAAATCCTGAGATTGGTGGATTCGAGTTTTTAGCACCAACCACCCACAGGAATGTCTTGAGAGTATTGCGTGCAATGCAGCTTTCAAAACCAAGTATGTGTCATTAATTTTGGTTATCATGGTAGTTTTTGGAGATTGATGTCGGCTTTAATATTGGAGTATTTTACCGGTGCAGTTTTACTAGAAGGTAGCCCTGGTGTTGGAAAAACAAGTCTGATATTGGCGTTGGGAAAATATTCTGGCCACAAGGTTGTGCGCATAAATCTATCGGAGCAGGTTCGATTTCGTTACCAGGCCTCAATACTGTGTATGCTACTTCGTCTGATGGGTACTATAACTTTGGTTTTTCTGATGCAGACTGACATGATGGATTTGCTGGGATCAGATTTACCTGTCGAAAGCGATGAGGACATGAAGTTTGCGTGGTCTGATGGAATTCTCTTGCAGGTTAAAGATTGTTTTATGTTAAAGTATGTATCAATTTAAAATTTGCAGACCCTCAGTTGTGCAATTTCTACAGGCTCTAAAAGAAGGCTCGTGGGTTTTGTTAGATGAACTGAACCTTGCCCCACAATCTGTTCTAGAGGTGAGCCAACAAGCCACTAATTTAATTTCAGTAAAACTTTTCTTGCGCTAGAACATGTTGAATTCTGTTGCCTTTCCTCATATATTATTCTGGTGAAGGTGATTAAGAATTTATATCTTTCCAGGGTTTGAATGCAATTTTGGATCATCGTGCTCAAGTCTTCATCCCAGAACTGGGCTGTACCTTTGAATGCCCACCAACATTTAGAGTTTTTGCATGTCAGAATCCTTCTGCTCAAGGTGGTGGCAGGAAAGGTCTTCCCAAGTCTTTCCTTAACCGATTCACGAAAGTATGTTCCACTATTCGTTTTCTGGTCATGGATGCTGATGACATGTCAAATTTTCATTATAATTCCAAATGAAATTTCATCTGTTGCCTCAAATGTTTTCAGGTTTATGTGGACGAGTTAGTGGAAGATGATTACCTCTTCATCTGTCGCTCGCTTTACCCATCTGTTCCTAGTTCATTGCTTTCAAAGCTTATTGCTCTCAACAGACAGTTGCATGATGGTACTATGTTATATCGAAAGTTTGGTCAAGATGGCTCACCATGGGAATTCAATTTACGGGATGTGATCAGATCATGCCAGTTTATGCAAGGTAGTAGCTAGAGTCATTTAAATTTTTCGTATTACATTTTTTTCCAGGTGACAATTGCTTAGACTAACTTGAGTTCTCGTTCGTTTCAGAGGCAATACATGACTTAGAAGCTGAAAGCTTTCTAAATATTCTGTACATTCAAAGAATGCGTACTGCAACTGACCGTAAAGAAGTTCTGAGTATCTATAAGGCTATTTTTGATAAAAACCCCTCTATAAATCCGTATCCTCGGGTTCAGCTAAATCCTGGGTACTTAGTTGTTGGAACTGCTGCCATTAAACGAAATTTGACTCAGTCTCATATTGTGAGTGAGCAGTTGAAGATTTTGCCTGAAATCCGTCAAAATCTGGAAGCTGTTGCACATTGTGTGCAGAATAAATGGTTGTGCATCCTAGTCGGACCATCGTCATCGGGAAAGACTTCGGTGATCAGAATATTGGCTCAGTTAACAGGATATCCTCTTAATGAATTAAATCTTTCGTCTGCAACTGACAGCTCTGATCTACTCGGATGCTTTGAGCAGTACAATGCCTTCCGTAATTTCAGATTGGTGATTACTCGAGTTGAGCACCTTGTCGATGAGTATAACAGTCTGCTATCACAGTCTTCCCAGGAGGCCCTTTTGAGCAATAGGAGTGGCTTAGTTTCCAGTTGGCTTTCCGATTTTAATAAGATTGAATCCTCTCTCTTGGAGAACCCTTTATTCTTCTTGAAGGACTCTGTAACACTCTCTAAATTAAAAAAGGTTGTAAAAATTCTGAAACAGGTCTTGGAAGAAGGTGTTTTACCCGTTAGTTGGTCAAAAAAGTATCTGGAACAAATCCTGAAGACTATATTGCAGCTGCAAACTCATGAGAAAAAGCAGTCTACAAAGTTTGAATGGGTGACAGGGATGCTGATAAAGGCAATAGAAGAGGGAGAGTGGGTTGTCCTCAAAAATGCTAATCTCTGTAATCCCACGGTAATGTTATAATCTCCCTTTTTACTATCCTGTACTGGTTACATTACTTTTGCGTTAAACCATGTGTGTTTTCATGGGTGCATGCAAATTCTTTTACCCATTAGAAACAACTCTGATAATTTCCCTTGTAGCTAATTGCCATCATTAACTGAAATTTCAGGTACTTGATAGAATTAACTCGTTGGTGGAACCTTGTGGATCAATCACTATAAATGAATGCGGGATTGTTAATGGTGAACCTGTCACTGTTGTTCCGCACCCAAACTTTCGTTTGTTCCTGTCTGTAAATCCAAAATTTGGGGAAGTATCAAGAGCAATGAGGAATAGAGGCGTTGAGGTATTTATGATGGGGCCACATTGGCAGCTCAATGAGGAAGGCTCAAACTGTGAAGAGCTTGTGCTGAGAGGTGTGGAAAGGTTTCTTGCTCTGTCAGGTATTCCAGGTTATAAGCTGGTTACTTCCATGGCCAAAGCACATGTTCATGCATGGCTAAATGGTCAAAGCTTTGGTGTACGGATCACGTATCTTGAGCTTGAACAGTGGGTTCACCTCTTCCAACTGCTGCTCATGAATGGTAATCAACTTCTGTGGAGCTTACAGCTAAGTTGGGAGCACATCTATCTCTCTTCGCTTGGGGTAAGTGATGGAAAAGAAGTTGTTGATTTTGTGCGTGATACATATTTGTCAGATGTTGAACTTTCTGGGCTTGATTCATTTATGGGTGGGGGTCTGTGCCTGCCTGGAGGATGGCCAAAGCCTTTCAACTTGATAGACTTGACATGGTACTCAAGAGAAACAACAGTAAGACAGAATTGCATGTATCTGGAGTTCCTAGGAGCTCAGTATGCATCACATCTGTCTAAAATAAGCTACAATGTCAAATTGAGAGATAGGGAGTCTGCTGGGGGACCAAGAATTATTTACACGATTGATTCTTCGATGTTAAAAAAAGTCTTGTTTCCGAAAGCCTTAATTGGGTCAAGCTGTGCACCAAATGCAGCAAATTTTGAGAATGATTTGGCTACAAAAATGCTATTGTTTGCTGCCAACTGGACAATAGAACAGGCAACGGAAGAGGATATTCAACTCTATCTTGCGTGGTTTAGTTGGTTTGGTTCTAGACTGCAACAATACTGTCCGTTTTTGCTGTGTTTTCTCAATATGTTGAAGGATGAGTTTGAGCATCCAATTTGGAATCATATATTTAGATGTCGGAAAAATCTGAAATCCCTCTGCAGATTGGATCCAGATGCTGTTCCAATTCCTATATTGTCCTCCAAATTGATTGATGTAGCTGCATCAAATGACCAGTCAAAACCTTACAGTAAATCTCTCTTTGAGTCTCTCAACTCTATTGGTGTTCTTCGGCTTTCGTATCGGCAGTGGCTTGAAGAGAGCAACGACAACCACACCGATGTATCCTCTTTTACTCGGTTTTTGGATTCGCTTCGCGCATTGGAGAAAAAAGTTCTTTGCGAAATTGTTGGAGCACCATCTTTCAGTGTGTTGATTCAGTTGTACACCGAAGTTATTGAAAAACATTCATTGTTTTGGTCTGGTTTGGTCTCTTCTTCAGATGAGTATCTATTGTTTTCCTTTTGGTCACTGATAAAAGCTATCAAAAAGATGCACAGTTTTTTTCCTGGAGAAGTTCAGGTGGTTCTGGTAAGGGTACCTTTCAGTTATGCCGGTTTCTTTTCATAAATTAACATAGTTGCTCAATAACATCATTGCCTTTCTTCTGTAGGAGGAAAGCAAAAATATTAACAATATAGTTTTGCATGGTCACCCTGAAAAGTCTATGCTATGGGCTTATGGAGGCCATCCTTCCTTGCCGGTATCTGCAGAGCTGTTCCATAAGCAGCAGGAGTTTCTACAGCTCTGCAGCACAGTTTGGCCATTGAAATCAGAATCAGATGAACAAGGTTTGATATCTAAAACGTTCAGTACTACACATTTGATTGTTTATTAGAGAAATTAAACTTTCTTCTGATAGCTGTTTTGTGTTGGCAGGAAATGATCATCTTACCAAAGCCATCGCATTTTCTGGCCCTGAATTATGTTTGCTTGCCTTGGAAGGTAATTCTCCCTAATGAATATTGTTCATCTTTATTTCATTTTACGTATTTTTTCTAATACAAGTAGACTGTAGTGTTCTGAACACTATCTATATAATTGATTGTATATGAAACTAAATCATAATTCTGACTGTATAGAATACTGAGAATAGTGATCGTTCGTTATCCTTTTGGGATTTTTGCCCTTTTCCCAAAAACCTCTTCTGTGAACAACTGGCTTAAGAAATTTTTAAAAGAGAGACCTACTGACAATTTCGAAGTTGTTGTATGATTGTAATGTGATTCACATTGTTGTATTTCTCTGCTTGTTCCCTCCAAAATGTGCAGGTCTTTGCATTTCATCATACATTGCTGACGAAGATGATGTAGATTATGTAGCTGCTGTTCAGCTCGATGAGATCTACCAGGTTTGTTTTCTTTATTCTGCTGTGTGTAATGAATGAGTGTCTCTATATGCTACTCACAATTTACCATCATCACCAGACGTTTTTGGAGAGGCTGAAACTAGAGAAGAAGAGACTGGAGGATAAAATGGGTTTCAGTGAGAATGATAATACTGAAAATAAAACTGCTTCCTGCTGCGTTTTCTGTCCAGAGATTGTGACTACAGGGTCTGGATTTAGCAGTTGGGTGAAGATATGTTTTCTTGCTAGCAGTGAAAGTTGTTCTCTAGATGTAGAGTTACTTGCTGCCCTTCAGCACCTCTTGGTGGCACGACCTACCGAACATCAGGTTAGTAGATAGTTGGAATCTTTATTCTTTTATTCTTTTTATAATCTAATGTCTTCTTTTTATTTGAAATTTAATGGATAAGATGTGCGTGTGATAACTACTCTATGTAAAGCCTGGTTAAAGTCATTTTCCTGTTTGCTTATCTAAGACTTACCTTTTGAGTTGCAGGATCTTGTGGACATTCGAAAACTGCTCAAACCGGCTCTAGAATATTCTTTATCCTCAACAAGGCCTCCACAGACTCTTGTAGCTCATCAAAAACTCCTGTGGGCAATTGATGCACATGCCTCTGAACTAGGAGGTAAACAAAGTTTATTCAATAATTTTTCTGTGTACTAAGGTGTACTGGCTGATTAACTTTGGCTATGTTGCAGTGGACACCAAAATTGCTGGTTTTGTTCTCGAGATGTGGTACTGGTGGCATTCTGTTTTGTGGAAAAATAGTCAAATTGGTCTCATGGTATTAGATAATAAACTAAATGATTTTTGTTCACATGCTACTTAGATTGCGCATTTAGTAACATCTTTCTTCATCTCATGTTCACAGGGCCTACAGAATATCTCAGACACTGGAAACTGTCAGATTCTGTCACCTTCTATGCTGATTCAGCCTGTGAAAACAGCTACCGTTGCTCAGATTCTGTAAGAGTTGTATCTCCTTAGAACATGTTAAACGCTCCATAGTTTTCCTTTCAGTTTGATATATCCAACATTCATATGCTACATTGATATATGAATACAATGCTCACACTCCAAGATAATCCACTTTTAATGTTTGATGATGAGACACTGTGGTTCTATTAACCATACAATGAAGCTCTTTTCATTAATGTTTTATGCAGGCAAAATGTATTTTCTGTTAAGGATTATCCTGTTCAATCAATGAAACTTCTTTCTGCTTCACGATATCTATGGAAAAGCTCACAACCTTATCAAGAAATGCCTGGATCTCTAATGTCAATAGCACGTTCCCTTTTCCAACAGGTACTGAAATCGTGATAAATTTGAATAAATTATTTTGTTTCGTTGCCTACTGTTGCAATTTTTTATCTTGATGTTAACCTTTGTAGATGATATATACGCACCAAAAGTCATTTGAGTCAGAAACGTTTGTGGCAATTAAGTCTGCATTTCATGCAATTGAGAAAAAACAGAACAAGGTATGATTCTAAAAGTTATAATTTCTACTTTTCCTTCCTCTTTCTTGTAAAAAATATTGGAATCTTCTTAATACTTTATGTTCTTTGTGAAACATAGCTACATCTCCAAGTTTACACGCTTCTCTTATCCTTTATGCAGATGGATGGCATACAGTATCTTATCTCACTGATTGGCTCATCAAACCATCATAAATTGAAATCCGTTACTCACTCATTTGTTGGACCATTAGCAAAACATCTTTATTCTGAGTGCTCATCAAATGGTAGTGTTAAATAGTGTATATATAACCTGTAGTGGTTTGAGTCGTGGCAAGGTAAACCTTCCTCGACGGTTGTAATTATTTTTTACAGCTTTATGCCCAACTTTTGTAGAATTCTACTCCAATCTTGGCTTGGCGTGGCTTTATCTTGGAGGACTACGCTTCCATCTTTTGAATAGCTTAGATGTTATAGATCCAGCCATGAAGACCACTTGCAAGCTGTTAGAGCTAGAAGAGAAAATCTCATCACTTGAGCTAAACATCAAGGTGCTTACTCTTTCGTATTGTGTAGATTCACAATAGCAGTTGCATATTGTCTGTCATTGTTTCATTGATTGGCCTATATTCATGTATTACCAGGTCCGGGGAGAATGTGGGTATCTGTCTGGATTGCTTTACTCTGGAAACAGTGACGAAAGAAGTGAACATACATTAGATAAGCTTAAAACTGAGCAAAAAGATTGCAAAGAAAGGTATGTAGCAGCTACTGTAGGTTTTTCCCCTCTTCACGGTGTGATGATTATTATGTGACCAATCCCAAATCCATGCTCACTTTTTTTTTACCTTCTGAAACAGGTTATTTTTAGATCTGATCCAAAAAAGTACCAGGATTTACGAAGGGCGCTGGATGAATTTGCTGGATTTCTCACACGTCCCATAAGTCTGGTCAACGATATTGAAGTGCTTGATTGGAATCAGGTTGTTGAGCAGGTTTTCAACTGGCAGGTATGTTTATCTCATGACTTTCATTTGTATTCTTTTTGCTTTAGCCATCAAGCTTCATTTTCAAATATCAATTCCTTGGATTCTGCAGGAGACAGCAATATCTTTTATTGATCGGATGTCAAGTGACTATTCTGAATATGTCGATATAACTCAGCCAATTCAAGTTTCAGTGTACGAGATGAAATTGGGTTTATCACTCTTTGTATCTGGTGCTCTCTTGGGAAAACTTCTCAACAGATTTGACATAGACACGGTTGACTCAGTCATGGTAATTAAGCTTGTCTTTCAGAAATGTTTAAACATGTCATTTCGTGTAGTCAAACTTAATGACTTCATGCGTCTGGCAGGAAACAATTTATGCCTTAATGAGATTTCCAAGGGACTCGTCGATAGCTTCAACTACCTACATCGAATGTTTGCCACCTCTGCACCTTTCTCATGGTGCAGATTCTCGTGCTAAGTCCTTAGGTTTGGATGTTGGCTTGCTGCACAAACTTATCTCTGTTTCAAGTTCAGAAGATTCGAGAAAAGTAATGTTTCATGAATTTCCAGTCTTTAGAGATGGTTTCCGTTCACATAATGAAAAAGATTGTCAGAATTTTGAAATCTATTCATGTATTCTTTATGTTTTGCTTATTTTTTGTAGGCCTCTGAGTTGCAGCTCAAAATTGCTCTTTATAAAAATCTGCATGCTCGTGTTTTACAATTTGTCGCAAATACTGGGCTACTGGATGAAGCTTCTTTTGAGGTAAAATATTTGCTTAGTTGTATGCATATAAATATGTTAATATGTTATCTAATGTCGCAAGAGTTCTATCTGCAGTTATTGGACAAAATATATGTTGAATTGGCGAGAATTTGGATGGAGATGAAGTTTCAAGCAAAAACAAAGGCTGACAATCTTCCTGGGCTGTACAAATTTCGTTCCCGGGACTTCAAAATTGAGAGTGTCATGGAAGTAGATATATCTGCCCTTGGCAAGTATTTCCCAAACGAAAGTTTCTCTGAGTGGCAAGAGTATCTGGCTGATGATGATATGAAGGATATGGTAAACCCTTCAGTCTTATGGTCTACTGGAACTTGTAAACTCTCATGTTTATTACTTATGATTTCTGTTTCCTCTCCACAGACACATATTGACCAGGATGAGGAAAATTTGGAGGATGATTGGGACTTGATACAGGAGCATTTGGATAGTATATATAGCACACATAATGAGTTATTTGGTTTCTGTGACCTCTCTGAAAAGGTATTTGAACCAACCACTTCTATATTCAAATCTGCAATTGTTGCATCAGACTCACTCGCAATTCTCTTGTATCTAACAAGACAATATATTCTATTCAGTCTGGAAGATTCTGTATTACTGACTGTAGAAGACTGGATTCGTTTACTGATTCCTATGAACTTGGAGTCAGTATGATCAAAGGTGATCAGACACTATTTCTCTCTATTGTTTAACGTGATTAAATTCATTTTATTAATTCTATTACTGGGTTATCTCATGATTCCAGGGCTAAGGGGTTTATTTACATCGAGTCTGGATGCAAAACTTGTTCCAGAACACCTGCTTCGTCTTTGCTTGGAAAACAAAAAAGCCTTCACCTCAAACAATCAGTATGCCAGTAAATATAACTTTTACAAGGTCTGCGAATGCTTTTACTTCCTGAAGAAGTTTATCTGCTCTTAGTTTAGGTCTGTCCGCCTTTGTTCTGACAGTTTCTTTTATAGGATTTGGATGGTCCTGAGCTGGGGAAAATGGTCAAGTTTCTCACTGCACTTCTACGAAGAATTAATTCTCTATTGCAAGAACGTGAGGACCATCCTGGTCTTCAGAAACTTTCTAGTGTTCTTCAGATGCTCTTGGATATTCCCTCCAGTACTCCTCTAGCAAAGGTATTTATATACTCAAATCGTTTACAAAAGATAATGTATCAGTCACTAACAAAGCAACTCTTTGGTAACAATGTTATGGAAAGTAGTAATGCAGTGGTAACTTATACACACAGAATAAATTTCTTTGCATAGCCTCTCGTCATTATTTACTAAACCATTGCTTTCTTGTTTGTCATTTTTTGTGAAGGCTCTTTCAGGATTGCAATTTCTGCTCTGCAAGGTTCACAAGTTACAGGAAGAGGGATGTAAATTGCCCATCTCTGGTATTAATTTTAAATCTCCTTACAATGAGTTGATTATGGACTCTTCTCAGTCATACCATTTGTTTTTTTCCATTATTTATTATATTTTCAGGTGTCACATTGTGTTCTTTTTTTTTAATATCCTACAGATCTCTTGGAGCCGATTATTTCCCTAGCAAGCTCTTGGCAGAAGGTGGAATTTGAGCGCTGGCCTACTTTGCTTGATGAGGTTCAGGATCAGTATGAACTAAACGCTAGGAAGGTTGGTATAGTTAGAAAATTTTATTTTATGAACAAAAATAATGTTAAGGGTAACACTTGTTTTTTCTTGTTGCAGTTGTGGCTTCCTTTGTTTTCAGTTCTGTTTCAGAAGGATGGTGTTGAAATTTCAGAAGATGAAAACGAGTCCATTTCACAAAGGTGTGCACCAAACAAATGATGTGGTGCTTACATTTGCATTCTCGCATGTATTCGGTCATCTAACAGATATTTTTGTTGCAGTTTGGTGGAGTTCATTGAATCGTCAAATGTTGGTGAATTTAGGAGACGTCTTCAGCTTCTCTTTTGTTTCCTTCTTCAATTAAGTATGGGTAGCTCGTTGGGGATATATTCAAGGTTAGCTGCGTATGAATTATCGCCTGATTTTTTCTTTTCTTCTTTCCTCATCGGTATTATTCTTGAAGGATTTAAAGGGGCTTCAGCATTATTTACTTGAGTCCTCACAATTGGTTGCTCCTCCGCTGTTTTTACAGTTGACTTCTAACTTGACTGTCTTTGTTTTTTGCCATTAACTCGCGCTTTTACGTTGACAGTGATTCACACAAGAGGAAGGTGGAAATTTGCTACAATATTTTCGGATTCTATATACAATTCCTACCGATGTAAGCTCCTTTCCATTTCTGGCTTGAGGTTATTAGTTCAAGATTATTTTGGCCAGGGTAGTGTTCTCAATTTAAATTTCTCTTACCAGTGTAATGGAGCAGTTAGATTTGAATAGAAAAAATGTTGAAACTGAGTTAAAGGAGGTTCTAAAACTTTGTCGGTGGGAGAGGCCAGATAATTATTTGTACAATGAGACCACTAAAAGAACCAGGCAGAAGGTCAAGAAACTGATACACAAGTTTACGGTAAGTTATTGGTTCTTCATTTTCTGGGGGTTATTATATAAACAGACGACATTCAATTATATATGTTTCCTTATATTAGTTGAAATGATGGGACCTTATTAAAAAGTTTTCTAAATGCTATCTTTTGTTGAGCAGGACATGATGCGGCTCCCTGTAATGCTTGTTAGGCCAGACCTAACGAAGGAACGAACTCAATTTCTCCCTCTACTAGATCCAGATCTTATGAATGGAGCATCCGACATGAGGATCGAGGGCCTAGTTAGTGCTTTAGATGCAGAGCAATTGAATGACAGGTATACATTTGCATCATGTACCTTTCTGCATGCATTGTTAGAAGTTTATGGAAGCTGAACCCTCCATCATTTATGCTTTAAATTTTTCTTGGTAGGTCTTCATGGTATGCAGTATGGTGGAATAAATTAAAGGAATCGGTAGGACGCTTTCACCAAGAAATGCACTTCAAAACATTGCTGATGGGTGAAGGTTCGTTTGTACACTAGCTCCATTCACTCTTGGTTTTATTTGGTGATTTTCCTTTATTTTTGGGGAATCTGCATATTCTTAAGCTTGCATAATATATTTGCAGAGCATCAGTATTCGTCCCCTGTCTATCAGGGTGATTGGAAAAATTTGTGGAGTACAGTTGCTAGGATTGGTGAAACCATTGCTGGCTGTTCAGATCTATGGAGAAACAGTGATAGAGATGTTGCAAAGAAGAGGGCCCTGTTTGAACTTCTCAAGTTATTAGAAAGTAGTGGTTTGCAGAAACACAAGTTTGAAAATGTAGAGGTAATATACTTTTGCTTGTCGATATTTCTGTGTATGTTTCTTCTATTCATGCTCTATTTATTGATCATCTATATTCTCTGATGGTCTTCTTTTATAGATGTCAAACCACTTTAAAGGGTTGCTTTATCAGCCAGCATATGATCCAAAGCATCTGTTGCTGCTAACACATACCGAAAGTAGCATGCATCCTTCCAAGGCTGTAGAAGATCAAAACAAGGAAAATCCACTAGTTGAGTGGAGAGTGGCAAATGAGTTTTACTTTAAGAGCTTGGCTTCAGTGCAACTCATGTTAAATATTGACCGAAAACACTCAGATGTAACAGCTGAGCAGGTAGACTTTGGAGCTTGTAATTTATATCTGGGCTTCATTGTTTCTCAGTTTTAAACCAGTTGTTTCACTAAATATCCTATGTTAACAGGTTAAGCGGGCAATCTCATTTCTCAACCATCTTGTGGAAATACAACGGCAGCAAAGGAAATCTGCTTATGCCTTTACCGAACTTTTAAACCGCTTTCGCCAATGTGTTTTATCTCTAGCGAGATTACTGGGTGACTCAATTGGTGTGGACAAAAAGGATGATTCTGTGTTCAGTTTCCCCCAAAATCAACATGCTATCTTCAATTGCTTGTGGCTACAGAAGGTATTTCAGCTTTCTAACTTGAATGATGTGCCCTGAATGTCTGTTGCAACAACACTGGATTAAGCTTGTACATTTTTTTTGTGATATGGCAGAAACTCTTTGATAACATCACTGCAATGCTTCTTGAGGAGTCGACCTTACTGAGAACAGTTGGAAGTACACACTTGGATTCCTGTCAAGCTGTGAAAACCTCATCACGGAGTTTGCTCAGCTTTATTGAAAAACTAATTCCCATCGCTCAAAATTCCAAGGTGCAGTATCCTTGGGCTTCTTTTAACTCTTTCTGGTCTGTTATTTCTTGCAAGAGTCTGAATGTATTGTTATCATCAGGCTTCGCTGGATAGGCTTCTACTTGATTGCAACGGTTTTATCATCACACCAAGTAGCTGTCTTAAGCAGTTTGTCACTCAGCATATGGTTCAGATGCTACGCCAGAACTTTGATCAACTTACGGACCTTGAGAATCAAATTTCAAGTTTTTGTGAAGACAATGAGAAAAGCTATGCTAGAGACGTTCTTCTCAGTCAATTTTCCCCTGTGTTTAAAGAGGTATTTATTCAGCCTTAGTGGATTATTTTTACCTTTTTCCAGATGCAAACCTAGCAAATAAATTGTGTTTAGGGTTCTTAGAGTCGTATTTATGAAATGTATTTAATGCAGGGGAAATTGCTGGCTGAAAATCTGAACTGTTTACTTAACGTGAGAGACCAGTCAACTGGAATGGAACCCAAGGAACGACTTTTTCTTGAAGAAAATCTTGCAAGTATATTTTCAAATGTTAAGGATGTGATTGGAAAGCTTTGTTCTTATAAAGATGGAAGTGTTTCTCAAGAAGAGGAAATGAATATTACTACATGGGATGGTCTGTTTAAGAAGGCAGAAAATGACTTGAACCTTGATAACCTGTGTAAACTGCTGTCCGAATCATTTGGTTCCATCGTAAGTTGGATTGTCTTTTGAAGTATGTGAATGCTATTTTCCTTTTATTTTCAAGCTTATGTTGAACTGAGGCTGTTATCTTCACAGGAACAACTGTTGAACTCATCAGGCGTCCTTTCAGCTGGTGTTGGAGACCAGTTGAAGCAACTTCAAGCATTTTTGGATCTTTTATTGAGCTTTGGAGACTGTTACCTCAAAGAGTTTTTGGCGATAAGCAAAACGGTATGTGTTTATCTTATGTTGTTCTTTCAAAGTCATTCGGGACAATCGTCTCTCTAACCTGATCCTGTTAATTGATATATTTTCTTTCAACTACCTCCTTAATGTCAAGTATGTTAGTTAGTGTGAAGAGATCTCGGCATTTACTCACCTTCTGCTAATTGATTCCAATAAGACAACAACATCAATGCTTTTGGTCTGTAGGTGTCACTGATAACCCATGTCCTTGCAAGTGTTCTTGCCGATCTATTTACAAAAGGATTTGGCATCTCCAAAAATGATGAAGATGATGGCTCTAAAGCTGAAAAATCGGAAACTGCAGAAGGTACTGGTATGGGAGATGGTGTGGGGGCAAAAGATGTAAGTGACCAAATAGAAGATGAAGATCAACTGCATGGCACTGATAAGAAGGTTTATATCGCCTCTTTCCTTATTGCCTGCCACTCATCCTGAATGAATTTTGCATGGGGTTATACCAATTAAGTTCTCTTCTGTTTTCTTTGCAGGAAGAGGAAGAGAAAGAGCAAGATGATGTGCTGGGTAAAAACAAAGGCATTGAGATGAGTGACGAATTTGATGGCAAAGAATATAGCGTTAGTGAGGATGAAGAAGAAGACAAGGAAGATGAAGAAAGTGAGGATGAGCAGTTGGATTCGGCAATAGGAGATGCGGGATCTGATGCCGAAAAAGCTGATGAAAAGCCATGGAACAAGGATGAAGAAGATGGGGAAGAAAATATGAATGAGAAGAATGAATCTGGACCATCTATAGTCGACAAGGACACAAGATCAAGGGAGCTAAGAGCTAAGGATGATGGTGTTGACACTGCCGATGAGCCTGAGGAGTCCAATACTTCTGACAAACCGGAAGAAGGAAACGATGAGAATGTAGATCAGGATGATTTTGGTGATACAGAAAATCTAGAAGAAAAAATCCAGACCAAGGAAGAAGCACTTGCTGGACTAACTCCTGATGTCGATAATGAACAAATTGATGATGACATGGAGATTGACAAAACAGAGGAGGTCGAAAAGGAAGATGCAGATCAGCAGGAAGAACCTTGTACAGAAGATCAAAAGCATCCTGAAGAAGGTGAAAATGATCAAGATGAAACTCAAGAGCCTGCTGAGGAAAATATGGAGGCTGAGGCTGAAGATAGGTGTGGATCACCCCAAAAAGAAGAACCTGGAAATGATCATGAACAGAAACCAGAAACGGAACCAATAGAAGGAAAAGAAGTTATGTCAGAAGACATGATGAAACCGAACTTCCGTAATGATAATATTTCTGGCGTAGAGTCTGGTTCACAAAATCCCCATGGATCTAATGTGTTGGGTGCAGGAAGTACAGCACCACAAGAAAATTTGTCTGCTACTGATGTTACGGATGAAGTCAGGGATTCAATGGATCTGCCTTCGAGTAGTAATACTGAGATGAACCTCATGATGACCAACCTGGCCAATGGTGAGACATTGACAGACAACATACCAAAGATGGAATTACCACAAAACCAGTCATCTACTGCTCAACAAACCAAGGTGAATCCTTATAGGAACGTTGGTGATGCATTGAAGGAGTGGAAAGAAAGAGTTAGAATCTCCTCAGACCTTGGAGAAAAGCAAGAGGCTGAAAATGAGATGGAAGACCCTGATGCTAGTGAATATGGATATGCTTCTCAGTTTGATGCAGGAACTTCCCAAGCTCTAGGACCTGCGTTGCCTGAGCAAGTGAACACAGATATGAGAGAAGGGCAATCTGAAGAAGAAAAACTCGCAGGTAATCAGGACGATGTCTCTCCAATGGATATTGATGACTTGAACCCCGAAAACAAACCTGCTGTCCAATCCAAACCATCGATCAGTAATAGCATCGCTGAACAGGTCCAAGAACCAGATACAGACAGGACCCACCAAGAGAATTCTCCTATTCATAATTTTGGTGATGGTAACAGCAGGATGGACTCTATGGTCTCTGTCGACAATACTTTCTTGGGGGAAGATGTATGTAATCTGGACCAGATGCAAGTGACTGATAATGACTCGGAAAGCAATCAGGATAATCAGGAAGATCCAGATGCCAAAAGTAATGCTGTTGTTCTTTGGAGGAGATGTGAATTGCTTACTGCAAAACCCTCTCAGGAGCTGGCTGAGCAACTACGGCTTATCTTAGAACCCACGCTTGCTAGCAAGCTCAGTGGTGACTACAGAACGGGTAAAAGGATCAACATGAAGAAGGTTATTCCGTATATAGCAAGTCACTATCGGAAAGATAAAATTTGGTTGAGGAGGACAAAACCAAACAAGCGTGATTACCAAGTTGTTATTGCAGTGGATGATTCCCGTAGCATGTCAGAAAGTGGATGTGGTGATTTTGCAATTAGAGCTTTGGCAACTGTATGCCGAGCTATGTCACAGCTTGAGATGGGAAGTTTGGCTGTAGCAAGTTTCGGAAAGCAAGGGAAAATAAAGATGTTACATGATTTTGGTCAGTCTTTCACCACAGAATCCGGCATTAAGGTTAGTGGCCTCAAATCTTTCATTTCCCATGTGTTGCACTGTGGATTGTCTTCTGATTGCTTACGAAACACCTCTTTTCTCGTTTATGTGATGCAGATGATCTCAAGTTTAACATTTAAACAAGAAAATCTCATTGAAGATCAACCAGTCGTCAATCTACTGAGAAACATGAATGAAATGCTAGAGAATTTGGCCAGCACAAGAAGACAGTCTTACGGGAGCAACCCGCTTCAACAACTTGTACTAATCATCGGCGATGGGAAGTTCCATGAGCGAGAGAAATTGAAACGATCTGTCAGAAGCTTTCTCCAGCAGAAACGTATGGTGGTATATCTGCTTCTCGATGACTCAGAGCAATCTGTTCTGGATTTAGCGGTATGTCCAATTCTATTACTTCCCTACACAGTCATAAGATTGAAATTAGTAGTTGTCATGGTGCTAAAAACTGCTTCTTCTTCTTCTTTTTTCCTCTAATCAGGACTATGTATATGATGGTGAAAGGAGACCCTATAAGAAAATGAATTACTTGGATTCCTTCCCCTTCCCATACTACATTGTGCTAAGAGACATCGAAGCCTTACCCAGAACACTTGGTGATGTGTTGAGACAGGTAAACTTTTCACTATCCATTCTCTGTTTTCTTTTTTTCCCTTGTGAGGAAAAGAAAAAACATTGTCAAATGCTTAAAAATCTTACAACTTTTGTTTTTGTTTTTGCAGTGGTTCGAGCTGATGCAAAACTCGCGAGACTGAACACTTGTTGGAAGAGAAAGGGTCGAGGCCTATTAGACGTATAGCTTAGCTTAGTTTGTGAACTAGACTTGTATACATTATATGCATTAACTTTAGATAATCACATCAGACCACAATTGCTGTTATTGCTACAATATATTTTATATATATATATGAAAAAAGACCCTCTTCTCTTCTTTTTCGAATTGTCACAACTGTTATTACTCTTCAAACCTGTATTATATTCACCTGCGATTTGGTTTTGTTTTCTTTTCATCAATCTAATATTATTCCTCACATTTTCATCACTTTTTTTTTCTTTTGACCCGAGGGAGCAAATTCTCGTAATAAGATATAATACTTAGTCACATGAATCACTTTTTTGGGTCATCGTCCCTTTAATCATTAATAGAGTGTACTATATATGACTCTTCTTAATACTTTTTTCCTTTTTGTTAAAACTCTTCTTAATACTTTCCGTCACCTGAGTTTTTGCTAAGTTAAAAAAGTCGACCGTATTTTAATTACAAATTTCAAAAAAAATCAGTGGTGGACTAAGAAAGTCATAAATAATTTTCAGAAACAAAGTTAAATGTTGAATCGGGTGCTTAGTTATGCTTATCCTTTTTTTAGTGATATGTGTTAATATTATCGATGTGTTATTATTCAAATTCAAATTCGTATGTTACATTGACAACAAAAGGTAACACAAAAATGTTCATGAATATGAACAAGGCAAATCTATTAGCAATATAATAGAAAAAGTTGGTCGTTCTTAGTTCTTGGATCCGTTAAAATCTAACAACTAAAAGTAAAGTCTATAAAAACAGTCGGCAAACTATGTAGTAGTAGTAGAAGCAATAATCGGTTTAAGTTATAAATTTTATTGATTTAGAATGGTTGTTGGTACATTAATTGGGGGATTAAAGTACTTACCGACTAATTTTATCATGGCAAAGAAAAGAGTATGATCATTTGTTGACTTGACCAAACAAAAATGGGTATGTATCGATAACAAAGAAAATTATGAGGTATTTTTTGAAAATTAATAATAATATGGGGATTGATTGTTCTACAAGTTTCTACTTTTTTACATGGCATGCGATGGGATTGTGTTGCACGTTGTAGAAAAAGAATATTCAGTCTCATTTTGAATTTGAAATAAGGTTTTGTGATCATCTTTGTTGATTCTGCAATCTTTGACTAAATAATACTATTAACTATATCTATTTGGATGTCACTATGAAAATGATCCGCTAGATTCTTTATTAGATATGTCCATTTGATAAATTATTAGACATATAGATTTACTCTAGTGACATATTCCGAATAGAATTGCATTAAAAAGTTACTAGTATCTTCTTGAGATTTCTTTTGGCTGTATTAAGAAGTTTCTAAATTGAATCTCACACACCAACTTGTTCACATGATGAGAAAAAAATATATATACTGAACAAAATAAAATCGTAAAAAAATATAATGAACTTTTGAAATTGGCAAAGAACAAATCTTAGTTTCAGAAATAAATTTGTGCGATGATTTAAACTTAAGCTTAAGGGGCAACAAAATAATTTATCTATTCGGCAACAAATTAAAGCCATAGTTTACCCTGTTTCATATGAAGAATGAATTAGCCTTCAAAATATTTTGTTTTTATCGATATTAGCCTTCGAAACATTTCTGTTTTTAGTAATTTTAACATCTATAATCGATATTAGCCTTCAAAATAGTTTTGTCTTTGTTAGTAATTTTAACATCTATAAGACAGTCACCATGATCGATATTCGGCGTACTAGTTACTAAAGTTTTGGCATCCCTTACCAGGACCGGCTTTAAGGGTGTGCCAACAGTGCCAAAGCACAAGGTCCCACCATTTTTCATTAATTTTTTTTAAACATTTTAGGATCCTAATTTTTTTAGAATTATGTAAAAAATGACCTAAAATTTTAGAATTTCTGTAGTATTTAGAACAAAAAGATGGATTTATTTTTTACTTTGGCACAGAGACTAAATTATTTTTGAGCCGGGTCTGTCCCTTACACAACGGTCACCAAGATCGTTTGTCTAGAATCGACAAACGGTCACCCAAATCCCTTTTTACAACACTAGTAAGTATATGGCACGAATTAAGCTTGATTTGTATATTCAAAGTGATGAAGATTCTAGGTTGTGTCATTCTATCATTTATTTATAACGTGTACAGTAAATTCCTTCATATAACCGGTTGTTACGGAATGACTTTGTCACCAAACATGTTCTTCAAAGGAGAAAGTGATGAGAAAAGTAAATAAAACAGTGAAGATAGCATTAGAAAGAATATTCAGATATGTTTATCTTATTTCTTTTTAATTTTTTTAGTGGATTGTAGAAATCTGGGCAAGCTAGTTTTCTCAAGATTATTATGATGTGTATAAGTTTTCTTTGCTTTTCATATTCATTTCCCAAGATACGCAATCTTTACCCATCACTGCTTTTGCTTTTCTAATTGACGGCAAATCTTCTTTCTAATCATAAAAGTATATAAATCGACATATCAGTACTAACAACATCAATTCTTTAGACCAAATTAATATTTTTAAACGTTAAGGATTAGAATATGTTAAAACATCTTAATGAAGTTAGAACATCAATATTATAACATTAAGGATTAGATAAATTTAAATGTGATAAAATAAAATATTATAGGTTCCAGTTTATATGTATACAAATTTTTATTTTCTACTCTGGACTATGTTCGGCTACTCACTTGTACATGGTGTAAGACGGTCATAATAAACTGGCACATTCCGATTTCTTCGGGAGAGCATCGAACCTGATCCGTCATCTTTCCACAATGCCCAAGCCGGCCAAATTCATTCCAAATAAGTCATCCAAGTCGATGATCCTTTCTCTGGTCGTTTTTCAAACAGTGGGCATCAGCCCCCCTTATCACCTCGAACTATATTCAGGCTAATGTTTTGGACACCCTTAATTTGTCTCAACTCCAACCAATCTTTGTTGTGAATTCTTTATTTCTTTATTGCTTTCCCTAGTGCTGACCCACAAGAATGATCCAATTTCTTGAAAATCTTCTTTTTTTGAGGGGGCAAATGTTGAAAGAATTAATTACAGATTTTGCCCTTTTTTATAGTGGCATTTGTGGATTTTGCCCTTTTTTGAATAGTTTATGGATTTTGCCCTTTTTCAGGCTTCAAAAATATGATTTAACATGCGTTTCACTCGTTATGTTTGGGTTTAGTCGGTTTCATTTGTTCTTAGGGTTTAGTATTTGGTATAAAGTACGTATTTTTACAAAAAAAATCACAAAATACGTACATTTTTAAGTGTTAAAAAAGGGCAAAATCCGTAAACTATTCAAAAAATGGCATTTTCATAAGTTTTTCTCAAAAAATGGCATTTTAGACAATAATCCCATGTTGAAAACCATTTAAGTTTTAGACTTTCACAAACACAAGCAATATGTTTTTTTTTCCAAAGGTACTATTTTTGTCATTTTTTTTATTAAAATTATCAAAGAAGCATACATTTTAGTTTTAAAAATGTCGACGGAATAACTAGATATCTCCGAAAACATAGCCCAAAAAATAAAATCAAAACCCCAAACTACGGAAGTTAAAAAAAGTTTGAATAACCCACAAAATACGTAACAAAGACACTACTTAACCAAAATGTATATAGAACAGGACTTGCCAATCTATTCCCATCATCTAAGAAGAACAAAATCTGTCATAAAAAAAAAAAAATAGGTCGCAATGTAACTAACCAAACATCCTAGAACGAAGTCTGGATACCTCTCAGAGTCACTTTAGATTGAAATAATTAATAATAAAATTTGTCTCAAGCTTGAGATGAACCATCTCTTAGACATGAAAAATGGATTTGTTGGTTACATTTTAAAATTACGGAAAATAAATGTATGATGTTTGTGATACTATTTATCGGCGATACAGCAAAACAAATGTGGTAATGGCGATAATGTAGATCGAAATTTGAAACAAAAATGTTGTGAAAATGAAACTGCCATTAAAACATTTTTATTGCATTGTTAAAACTTAAATCATCAAACAAAATTAGTATCAAACAAGATTTTATTTGTTTCACAATAAATATAGTCGATATTAATTTTAACAAATTGCATGTAATTTAAATCTTTAAAATACTTATTAAACTTTTCTTTTATGGTCCATCATGTAACATAAATAACAGTAAAAGATTGGAGAAATTTATTAAACTAACAATTATGAAAGTTTAGAAAGTATTAATTTATATAAAACCAAAAATATGTCTTCAATACAAAATAAAGTGAAATAATTTTGTAGATGAAATGGAGCAGCTTAATGCACTCAAACACAATCATATCACTTGATTTCAATCACACAAGTGGATAAGCACGTAAAACATAAATCTGGTTATTGCCAATATGGAAAAGAATGAAATTTTGGATCTGACTCAGATACATTTTGCAAGAATAAAGTTACGCATTTTTGAAAGACGAAAGCCATTTAAATAGTTATTATCTAATATCTATGCTGTACCCAAAAAAAAAAGTAACTATCGAACAATGGCTCAACATATTCCTTTTTTTTTGTCATCCGTAATTAATTATAAGCTCAAAAGAGCCATTCCTGAGGAATGTTGTTTACATAAGTGATGTGAGACGGCTCTGTACGAACTTTTCGTGCCAGATTATCCGCTTTAACATTAGCACTACGAGAAATTAAAGATAAAGAGAAGCTTGAAAACTCTTCCTTGTCAATTTGAAATTCCTCTAAATACACTGAAAACGCCGGCCATTCAGTTGGAGAAGACACCATCTTCACCAGATCAGAACAGTCTGTATAAAACGCCACCTCTTGATTATCTGCACCAATCATACACTTCATCGCCCAGAGAAGGGCCTCGACTTCTGTATGTAGGGAAGACAGACTTCTACGGAGGTTGGCAGCTCCCATGGTTGGCGGCTCTCCATTTGACGATGTACAGAACCACCCTGTACCGGAGAACTTATCACTTCCTTTCCACGATCCATCCACGAAGCAACGGTACCCTGAATAATTCGA